GGTCCAAGGGTCACCAGGGCAGACACTGCCAGCATCCCCACCCTGACAACTTTCTGGGGCCCCACAGCTCCTCCTGGAGGACTGGGGAGAGGACAGTGGTCACTGTTTAAAGACCCACATACCGACCATCTGGGCACCCCATAGTCTACGGTTACATCAAACCATTTTTGTCTCTGATGTTAAGAATTATTTGAGGTCCTAAGTTCAACTTAGGAGATTTCTTTCTTAAAGTCTGCACTGATCCACGTTTGACACAGTAGGTTTATTTAGTCAGTCAATCGACCTATCAGTTGATCAAGATGAGGGTTTTGCCCAAATTTAGCAAACCATTCACGTCCCTTAGAGTCTGGCTTCAGGCACACAGATGCAAGAGGGGCTTCCTGAGGGGGAATCGCTTTGCCATCTTTATAATCCTTTAAAATAATCTTGGATTCAATTCCCAAAGGCTGGATGTGCCAGGGACAGTCTATCCCGGTGGAGAGAGTGAGGGTGTTGTGTGAGCCACACCAGGAGTGGAGGCTTTGCCCTTCCTGGGGGATGGTGCCTCTTTGAGCGCCTACTTTCTATCTTTAGAAAGGGAACAATACACATCTTTACCAGGCTACTAGATGCATCGTTTAACCTTTCCACAACAGGGTCCAGCCATATTAGGTGCTCCATAGGAGCACTTTGCTGGTGTTTTCATGAATCTATCTGAAGTGGAGAGGAGCAGGTTTGAGAGATGATAATAAATCACACCCCAGTGCCTGCTCCTGTCCTGAACTGGTTTGAAGAATCTGACAGGTGTGTTGATACCTGTTATTTAAATGTCCTAAACTGTTCTTTCAATATCAGACCCATTTTTTACATACTAAATGAGCAAGTTTCCTGCTATGACCTGTGTCAGACACAGGCGATGCTATCCCATGAGTCTGGTTATCCTGCAGAGCTCTTTCTAGAATGCCCTTCCTCTCTGAGCTCCTCTATAAAATTCTTTTTTTATAATTGATTTTATATTTTAAATATACGACAGTGGAATGTATTGCAATTCTTATTATACATATAGAGCACAATTTTTCATATCTTTGTATATGAAGTATGTTCATATCAATTCATGTCTTCATACATGTACTTTGTTTTGTTTTGTTTTGCATTACAAATTCTTATTACACAAATATACCACAATTTTTCATATCTCTGTATATCAAGTATGTTGACACCCAGTTCGTGTCTTCATGCATGTACTTTGGAGAATGATGTCCATCACATTCCACCATCCTTGCTAATCCCCTGCCCACTCCTTTTCCCTCATACCCCTCTGCCCTATCTAGAATTCATCTATTCCTCCCATGCTCTCCCTCCCCACCCTACTATGAGTCAGTCACCTTGTATCAGAGAAAACATTCAGCATTTGGTTTTGGGGGACTGGCTAACTTCACTTAGCATTATCTTCTCCAATGCCATCCATTTATCTGCAAATGCCATGATTTTATTCTCTTTTATTGCTAAGTAAAATTCCATTGTGTATATATGCCACATTTTTTAATCCATTCATCCACTGAAGGGCATCTAGGTTGGCTCCACAGTTTAGCTATTATGAATTGGGCTGCAATAAACATTGATGTGGCTGTGTCCCTGTAGTATGTTGTTTTTAAGTTTTTGGGGGTATAGACCCAGGAGAGGGATAGCTGGGTCAAATGATGGTTCCATTCCCAGATTTCCAAGGAATCTCCATACTGCTTTCCATAATGGCTGCACCAATTTGCATTCTCACCAGCAGTGTATGAGTGTACCTTTTCCCCCACATCCTCGCCAACACGTATTGCTGTTTGTCTTCATAATAGCTACCATTCTGCCTGGAGTGAGATGAGATCTTAGAGTAGTTTTGATTTTCATCCTCTATAAAATTCTTGATCTTTCATGCCTGTGAAGTCTCTGACATTTTCAGAGAGCCAAGGGCTCCTAGGGCCACATTTGGAGAATGAGCCAAGAGAGAGATGTGAGAAGGAAGTGTCACTCCTGGCAGGGAGAAATGACATGTCCTGACTTACTGGTGCCAGGGAACCAGGAACATCATTCTCAGGACCCAGAAAGGAGTCAGAGGTTGTTTGATTACAAAGCTCCCTGTGCTGGGCACGATGGCCCACACTTATAATCCCAGTGGCTCAGGATGCTGAGGCAGGAGTATCACGAGCTCCAAGGCAGCCTCAGCAAAAGCAAGGCACTAAGCGACTCAGTGAGACCCTATCTCTAAATAAAATACAAAATAGGACTGGGGATGGGGCTCAGTTGTCAAGTGCCCCTGAATTCAATCTCAGCCCTCCAGGCACTGCCACGGTCCCAGGATGGGTAGTGTGCCCTGCGTCTTCTCTGGGTCTCTTCAGAACTTGACCTCACTGGTGGGCACGACGGTGCCAGGGCCTCCTGCTCATGGAGAGCTCCCAATTTAGGAATGTTCTCTGGTTGGTGATCCTGGGACATCCCCAGAAGAATTTAGTTAAGCTCTCCGAGAACGGAAATGAAGTTTTCTCGCTGCCGAAGATGTCTTAGGCATTCTTTTTAAAAAGCAACGCAGTCGAACTTGCAGTTTGTGTTGGCTGCACTTCTATTTCCTGTTAGCGCTTATCCCAGATATCAGCTGGGCAAAAGGACAAATAAAAAGAAGCAATTTTCTGCTGCCAGACTATTTGGTTTCCTCCGCCCTCTCTGGGCCTGTGGCAGGCAGTGCACTTGGCCTAAAAATCATTACTGGTCATGTTCTTCTGTGTTCTTTAGTTCTGATTGTGCTTTCTGCCAGGCTCTGCATCTCTGACCCTCTGATCCCATGAACACCTGGTCCCCCTGCAGTGGGGACCTGAGAAATCCATGCTGTGCTCTGTTTCAGCCTCTGCTGTCATCTGCCAGCTGCCGTGCCTGGGGATCCTGCCGTCTGACCACTTATTCTTATGGTCAGTTCAGAGGAATCTTTAACCACCTCCAGAGGCGTGTATGGGGCTGCCTTCCTCATTACCAGTCTCTCTATAATCCTCTCATCGTACTTAGTGAATCATTTGGCATAGAGTCCTGGAATTCCCTTCACATTCATTGAGGATGCAGGGAGCCACTAATCTAACTTCTATCACTCGATTTACTTTTTCTGAATATTTCATGTAAATGCAAGCACATGATAGGTGATCTTTTGTGAATGGCTTCTTCCACTGAGCATGTTCTTGAGGTTCAAAACATGTATCACTACTTAATTCTTTTTATCATTAGGTTGTATTCCATGGGATGAATATGTCATAGTCTTATTATTTTCCACTTTTTTTATTAATGCAAAAATGGATCTAAAATTTTACCTTTCGGGGATATTTGGTGATTACTCAGGCACCATTGGTGCGTGTGTGTGTGTGTGTGTGTGTGTGTGTGAAAGAGAGAGAGAATGGATGTGTGTCCATGTGGCATCTGACAAGCAGTGATTCTTGAACCGATCTGAATAGTGGATTTTAAATATTATCTACCTTAAACATATATTAAGTGTATAAATTTTAAAAATATACCAAGTATATAAATATTTCTTTTTGGCTTTTAGTTCCCAAGAACATCCTTACTGCGATCGATCCAGCCATTGTTAACCTCAAGCCTTCTTTGAAGCAGAAGGACGCTGAACATGGTAATGTTGGTGGCTTACTTCTCGCCCTGATCTTGAAGTAAAGGTAGAGAACCCCGTGATCACCACCATGCACACATTGCCCAGAGGGACAGGGGACATCAGGAGGTGTTTGGAGCTACTTACTCTGGTAATGCCAGTACTGGAGTCTAATGGTGCAGACAGCAGCCAGCATTTGGTTTGGTTTTGATTTTATAAAAGTATTAAATAGAATAAACTTCCCCTCCATTCCCATTTTGCTTCCTAAAAGAAAAGCCACTTTGAACAAGGATCTGCTCAGACGTACGTTAGATTATACATGGAGCCCATTCGTGGTCAGCAAAGATGATCCTGTTGGGAACTTGGATGGCCAGGGCCAGGTAGGCCTACAGCCTCCACACACCCCACCCTCCTCCTTCAGTTTTCCCTGGATTTCTGTCAATAAGGAGGGATGGAAATCTTGATTTCTGTGTCAAATCTAGAATGGATTTCAGACCCATGGGGTTCCTGAGAGAAATTGCAGAGAATAGGAAGCACCTCAGATGCTGGGTTGGGGTAGTGAGTGTGTTATTTTATTATATTTATTAGGTATCTCCCCTTAATTATGAAAGTACCCATGTTCCTCTGTCTGTGGGGAACTGGTTCCAGAACCCTCCACAGATAATCAAAACCAGCAGGAGCTCAATGTCCTTATACAAAATGGAGTAGTGTTGCATGTGACCTACTCACATCCCCCTGCAGATTTTAAAAGATCTCTAGGTTAATTATAATACCCAATAAGATGTCAGTGCTATGTAAATAGTTGCTGTATTATATTTTTTTAGGGAAATGTGAAAAGGAAAAAAATCTGTACATGTTCAGTATAGATGCAATTTTGGGGGGAATATTTTTGATCTGTGGTTGGTTGAATCCACAGATGCAGACCCCCTCAGATAGAGAGGGCTAACTGTATAATTTGCTTTTTTAAATGCCTTTATTTTATTTATTAATTTTTATGTGGTGCTGAGGATCGAACCCAGTGCCTCACGCATGCTAGGCAAGTGCTTTGCCACTGAGCCCCAACCCAGCCCTATAATTTGCCTTTATGTAAACTTCTTGGTATGAAAACCACAGGAAAACACCAAGAAACAGAAATCACCCCTAGTTCAAAGCTTAAAAATAATTACTGGTAATGTTCTTCTGTGTTCTTTGGTTCACGACTCTGCTTTCTGCCAGGCTCTGCATCTCAGACCCACTGATCCCATGAATACCTGGTCCCCCTGCAGAGGGGACCTGAGAAATCCATGTCATCTTTCTCATAGACATCTGTCCTGTCTGATGTTCTCAGGGGTCCCCTGAGCCCCCAGACTGCCCCAGCACCAGCTGGCTAACTCATCCAGGCAGTTTCAACAGCATGTACACAGGCCACCCTCCCCCATTCTTCTGTGAGCTCCAAAAAAAGCAGACCTACAGTGTCTGCCCCCAGGATCCAAGGTTTGTCTTATTTCTGGTCCACAGAGCCGGCAGCAGGTCCATATTTAACACGAGATGTTACCTATTAAGCCTCCCAGAGGCACAATGAATGCCATTGCCTTTGGGAAGGAAAGATTGATTTGTTCTCTTCTGCACTGGAGTGGATGAGCCACATCTGAATTTGGCACTGACGCTTGTTAATAAGGGATTTGCTAATCCCTTTTATCGTTCAGTATTTTCAAGGACTGCTTACTGTGCACTCTTAATGGCTTCATTGTCCATCATATAGCAAGAGGCTCATTTGTTTGATTTTGGTGACTTTTAATTATTCTGGTAGTCCAGGACAAGGAATGGCAGGGGTACTATGAACAGCTCTGATGAACTTCTTTTGTACTTTTTTTTAATTTATAAAACAGGTATAAACTTCGACCCAAGTGAGTCAAAAGTTCTGTGGAAAGATGGAGTGATGGTTAGCAACTCTCTGGCAGCGTTTGCTTACATTAGAGGTAGGTCATCGACTCAAAGCCTCCTGGAATGCTAACAGATTTACTAAAGCCTTGTTAACAAATGCGCCATTCAATGGAAACACTCAGGTAAAATGACTTTTAGTTGGACATGGCAACTGCCGAGCTCTGAGATCCAGAAACCCGAATTCAAGTACAGCTGCAACCAGGCCACGGGCAAGAGAACCACAGATAGAATTGTTCTGTTTAGGGCTGGGCTCCTCAGGTGTTTCCCCACTGAAAAGCTGGAATGCGTTTCCCAGGTCTAAAATTTGGGAAGGGTGTGGGATTATTGAATTCCACCCCAACTGGAAGAAAAAAGAATGGAACCTCTTAAGTAAACAAAACAAGCCATGCCCCACGAGGACAGAGTCACTTTCCCAGTCGAGTGTCATTTCTCGTGGTTGCCACGGTTTCCTTTGTTAATCTTCCCCACAAGGAGCAATCAGACTCAGTCCTCCTGAACTGCAGGGCCAGAAGGATTGCGCCCAGCCTGGCCATGTTGCAGATCCTCTTTGGGGAGGTACCAACAATCTTTGCCACCTTCCCTGCTTAGCTTACGACAGATAGTAATTTGACATGTTGATCCAAGTTTCAACAGTGCCTGCCTGCCTGGTCAGGGGGGTTATAATTGTCAGCTTTCCATTGCTATAACTCAATATATGATACTTACTAAGTAAAGGGAGGTTTACTTTGGCTCAGAGTTCTGGCGGCTTAAGTCCAAAACCAGGTAGCCCTGTTGGTGAGGCCTCTGGCACATCATGATTATTGGGGCACCTGACATACTGAGCAGTCACATCTTGAATTAGAGCCGAGAGGAAGAGACCGGGGTTCCACAATCCCCTCTAAGTGCATGCCCCGAGTGGCCTAAGACCCTTCTGCTAGGTCCACAGCACTTTCACAGAGTACCCGCTCTGGGGACCCAACTTTTACATACGAACTTTAGAGGGATACTTATCCAAACCATATCAGAGGCCAAAGCCTGAGACCCTCAGTAAAATACACATTAATATAATGCATGATGTTCTCTCTATCAAGGCCGATGGGGCTGGGACTGGGTTTGGATCACTCTTCTTCAGGGGGAGATAAGGCTTGAGGAAGTATTTCAGTACAGGAGAGAGAGAGAGAGAGAGAGAGAGAGAGAGAGAGAGAGAGAGAGTGAGAGTGCGCGCGAGAGAGCTTGGTCCTGCCACTCTTCCTCCATGGTCTCTCCAGAGCACTCCTCCTCCTGTGGGTTTGTCATGTGGTTACTGGTTTCTTTCTTTTTTATAACCACCCTACCCTTTCCACATCTTGCCATTCTGAGAACTGTTACGTTTAAGACACAGAAAGATGGTCATTGTCAGAAATATCCCCAGGTTTTCAAAGTCCCTTGGAGAAAAGGCATCACGAGGTTCCTTCAAACAGAACAAGGGGGAAGAGAAGGGGAAGGACTCACGGGCTGAGCTGCGGCCGTGCCCTGAGCTCTGCTGCGGGCCTCGTTTCCCTCGTGACTGCCTGCGTCTGCTCAGGCTGCCATAACCGGAGGCCGCAGACCGTGGGCTTCAACCAGGGATGCTTATCTTTTCACAGTTCTGGAGGATGGAAGTCCAAGATCAAGATGGCAGCAGATTCAATTTCTTCCTGGCTTGTAGACAGCTGCCGTCTTGCTATGTCCTCCCGAGGCAGAGAGAGGGAGAGGGACATAGAATGACAGTGATGGGGGCTTGGATCTTCCTCTTGTAAAACCACCAGTCTTACCAGATTAGCGCCCCACCCCTCCATCTCCTTTTAACCTTAATTCCCTCCTAAAGCCCTGTCTCCAAATACCCATCACATGAAGGTGGGGCTTCATAAATGAACTTGGGAGGACAAAGTTCAGTCCATAGCAACAAAGCCCAGAGATGGAGCTCTGACCCCCCAACTCTGCACTTCAGAAGCTGAGGGTCAGAGGAGCTGAGCCATGGACAGCGCCAGCCCAGGATCCCAGGATCAGCAACAAAGCCATCGCTGGTCTTCTCTGAGCCAAGAGGTGTGCCCTTAACATTTGGAGACCCAGGGCCTTTCTGACCTTGAGATATCAAATTCTCTCCAATCCTGCCCACCGTCTCACATCTTGCTCCCAGAAATCACAGACTTTTTTCCATAGTGCTTGTCCCCCCTTGAGACACTTAGCTCCTTAAAGGCAGAGTTTGTCATCTTGTTTGCTGACAGGTCCTGGTGTCTAGGACAGCGCTGGCAAGGAGCACAGTTAGCAAGTGACATTATGATCTCTCCTGACATTGTTACCTCCCAGGATTTACTATTTGTAGATAATTTTTTTAAATGTGAAGACTCGATGGGCTGATATTTGGCTTTATTGGGGATGTTTGGGTACCTTCATCTCCGCGAGCCATGACCAAGCCTGGGTTTGCTGTCCTGGGGGAAATGACTCTTAAGTGCTTCAGGCTGGACCCTGGCTAGATGGAGTCACACAGGATTCTCATGACTCAAGTCACAGAGGCTCACAGAGGAAGAAATGCCTCCAGGTCTGCCTTTGGCCTTCCCTAAGTGGCCACCTGCATGTGACAGCACAAGGTGCTTGGTCAGTGGTCCACGGGGCAGCTGTCACCAGAGGTGTCAGACAGGCAATTCCAACCTAACCAGGCAGTGGCCACAGCAAATATCAAACAATGCAAGCATCATCCTCGTCACTTCTGGAAAGAGGGGACCAGCCAACTCTTAGGTGTACCTTCAGCATCTGAGGTCACAGAGGTATGCGGTGAGGAGTGGACAGAGGTCCCTGAAGGAGAGCCCAGTGGCAGGAGCATCTGGGGACCAAGAGCATGACCTGGGCTGCTTCCGGCCCAAATCTGCCAAGTAGTTGGTAAATTGGATCTAAAAGGATGTTTCCTACCTTCTTGTAGGTCAGGCCATGAGGAGCGTCAACACTTAGTGCAATCAAGTATACGTGGGACAAGAAGAAACCAACTGAGGGGCACGTCCTGTGGGGGGAACACAGAGGTCAGGAAAAGGGACATGAAAATACTCAGGGGTCCCTGACAACTAGTTTCTCCCACGCCTACTTGAGTGATCGGTGAGGTGTCTCTCCCAACTCAGAAGGTTTTGAAATTAGAAGATCGGAAAGGAGGGTGAGTGTGTGTGTGTGTGTGTGTGTGAGAGTGTGTGAGAGTGTGAGAGAGAGAGAGAGAGAGAGAGAGAGAGAGAGAGAGAGAGAGGGAGGCGGGGAGAGAGAGAGAGAGAGATATCAAGATTTTCTTAGGAAGGCAGTTTCCTAGCTGTCCCCATATGAGCTACTGTCCCCTGGCAGATTGTACTGGAGGGGACTTTGTGTAAGTGCCATCTCACCTCAGAACATGACCCCTCCCATTGCCAATTAGTCACTAACCTCGTCAGTGTTTCTTTGCACCTGGCTCCGTGTGGCCGCCCCATGGAGGCCTGCAGACCCCTTTGTGGTCCTCTTTTCCCATCCCTGCCCCGCGCCCTGGGACTGTGATGAGCAGGTGCCTTCCGCCCTCCCGCAGACCCTGCTGTGGACTGGAGAGTCCTGGGGGTAACCGGGGCCACAGGTAAAGAAGCAGAGCCAGCGCTGGGGACAGGCTCACAGCGACCCCTGACTGGGGGGGCATCCTTGTCTCCTGTGACAGGAACTCTGGGGCTCAGACAAACCCAGGGAAAGAAGTTTAATCACACATTGCAAAGTCGACGTCATGGGTCCCCTGCCAGGGAGGACCAGTGGAGATCAGCCATCTTGTCACAGAGGTACAGGCTCTGACGTGTCCCCACGGTCTCCAATCTTTGGTTCCATGACAGAAAGTTCCTGACACATCCCTAAGTGCTGTCCGCGAGGCCAAAGGACATTAGCTTGCCCTCAGAAGACCCTGGCCCTGGCTGCTGCCTGGGTCCTCTGGTGGCAGTAGGTCCCCAGGAGGTGGCTCCTGTGTATCTTATCTGGACCGAAATAAATTTGAACTGTTGCTTGTGTTGGTCCCAGACCAGGATCTAAGAATTAAAAGGGGACTTAAAGGCCACCAACCCCTGGTCTGAGGCTCCCGAGAGCACACTACAGACAGAGGATAAAGTGAGTCCTTTGCTCTAGCCTGTGATGAACCACGGTGACATTTAGGACAATACCAACGAAACACGGTGTGAAGATTCTACTCAACCACGAGAAGACGGGTGACTTTACCTTCCAGAACATGTGGTAGAAAAGGGGTCCCAGACGACTAATGTGGTCCGATTGATTCTAGAAAACAGAGGATGTGCTTATCGCGCATAAGCCTGGGGCTCTGTAGATAACCGTGGTCTGAGTCTGGGGTCCCCACTAGAGGTGGCTTTGGACAAGTGACTCAGCCACAGCAGGAGGGATTCAGCCAGCTCATCTCTAAGATTCCATGTAAGTACCAGCCTTCAAGAATAGGAGCCTTCAAACCAGTCCATGCAGTTGACTGGGCAGCCCCTTCCCGGGGGCTTGCCAAGGGTGACCCATCCTCTCCATCTTTGGCCACTGGATCCCAGTGGACTTGATGTGGACTTGCCCAGGAGAGTGGTCACGTGGCAGAAGGTGCATCTAAGTCAAGAGACACTAGGTCTATGGTGTGAAGCTGTCTTGGCAGTAGAACCCAGACCCCACCAGCCAGGAGAAAAGGGAGAAGAGGAACTAACTATGGAGCCCCATCCTCAGGCAGCAAGCCTAGTGCTGTCTAACCTGCGGTCACCTCCTCACCCCCTCCAGGTGGGCTCTAGCCATCTGGCCTATCTAATTCCATCATTTCTCAAAGGCCCCACCCCGAGCACCATAGCCAAGTAAATGCCTCGCAGTGGGATTATATTTCACACATGGGCTTTGGGGCACACTTAGACCGTGTCCAAACCATACAGGAGGCAAGAATGGAATTGGGGAAGATGAGGCTGTGATTTGCACGGAAGAGAGGGGAAAAGATTTGTCAGCTGGCTCAGAGCCTCAGGTCCTGGCATCTTGTCTCTTACTGTGCAATGACTTCATTCCAAGTGCCAGTGTCTCCAAATGTCCATTGAGATGCACTGAGGAAATGCAGGGGGAACCAAAGTGTGCCCCACAAGGAGCCCCCTGTTGAAGTTCTGGGTTCCAGTCTGAAGAGGCCACTGGCTTTTGACAGCAGCTTCCCCTCTGGGTCCCAGCTGTAGTATCTGCATCAGAGGTCAGCAAACTGTGGCCCACAGCCCAAATCTACTAATAAAGTTTTATTGGGATAGTGGGATAGTGGTGCCTTCTACTTTACACACTATGGCTGTTTTTGTCTTACAACAACAGAGGTTGGTATGTGCAATGGAGATCATATGGCCCATGAAAACTAAAATATTTACTGTCTGATCATTTACTGGAAAAGTTTGCCGACTCCAGATCCATAATAAGAAGGAGTTTACTTGTATCCAGAATGGAAGTGCCCACACCCCAAGGGGTAGACACCATAGAGAGGTGATAGTAAAATAAGTGAATTAGTCCTCCCTACACTGGCCTTACGCAAGGACTAAGCATTGTAAGGGTTTAGACCAAGATATATAGAACTTAGTAGCATTATTTTTTTATTTCTATTACTATATGGAAGGTCCATTTGGATGCAGGAAAAATTACTAGAATTTCTATTTTTTTTTGACCTAAAAAGAAAGGAATTAAGTTTGGCAAACATCTATAATATTATTACTTAAGTTCCTATCTGAATGAACTTAAGAAGTCATTTGTACTTCAGACAAAAATTAATTCTTCATAGTCTACCACTGGTAACAGCTAACACTTTATTGAACATTGGCTACACACCCGTGAGTATTTCTGGAGCTTCTTAGGAATGAACCTATTTCATCATAACAACGTTAAAATAAGAAAGTACTTGTTAGCCCCATTGTTCAGGTGAGGAACCTGAGGCCCAGAGAGGTTATACAACTTGCTCAAAATCTCACATCTAATGAGTGGCAGGTCCGTGTTTAAATTCAGGGGAATCTGGCTCTAGAAAGCTCCTGAGTCCCTCTTCCTGTGTCCCCTCATGCACATACACATGTTGCCGGTACTCAACATTTTTTTTCTTTTTGGCCACCGAGGGATGGGATCCCCGAGGTGGTGCCAGAGGTGCAGCCCAGGGTTGGTGTTCTTCACTAGCTACCTGCCCAGGCAGACGTCGGGTTCTGTGGGATTTGGGCTGGTGAAGACTGACATCTCCCAACTCCTTGCTTCTTCTCTCCTCCGCAGCCCACCCCGAGAGAGCGGCCCTTCTGTTTGTGTCCAGTGTCTGCATTGGCCTGAGCCTCACCTTATGTGCCTTGGTCATCAGAGTGTCCTGCACCAAAGACTTTCAGGAGCTGCAGCTGGGGAGGGAGCGCCTGGTGCCAGGAGGCGACAGACTTGGGGCGGACAGCGAGGAGGAGGCAGAGGAGGAGGACTCCTCTGATTCGGAGTTCCCAGGGGAGCTGGCGGGGTTCTGCAGGACTTCATACCCAGCCTACAGCTCCGTCGAGGCTGCAGAGCTGGCCGAGAGGATTGAGCGCCGGGAGCAGATCATTCAGGAAATATGGATGAACAGTGGCTTGGACACGTCCCTCCCGAGGAACATGAGCCACTTCTACTGAAAACCGTCTGCCTCTCAATGAGTGCACACTTTCCGAAGAGGGAAGGTTCCAAGATGCCCCTCCAGGCCTGTCTCATTTATACCTTCTGTGAAGGAGAATTTTCCATGGCATCCAAGACTGGTGAAGCCAGAAAGCCATCAAAGGGACATTTCAGATTGTTTACAGCACCCCAAAATAAATTAGGAGGGGAGAAGTCTTTGCGTTCCGTACTTATTTGAGTTTGTGTCTATCATTAACAAGTCTGTGTGTAAACAGGGCTCACATTTACTGAGCACTTACAGTGACAGGTACTGCCCTACCTGTTGTTCGCTGAATAAGTATATTTACAATAACTTCACGAGACAGTGACATTATCCCTATTTTACATATGAATAAGCAGAAGATCCACAGATATCAGTTTAAAAATCTGTATTGGTACTCAGGACAGCAAACGAGCTCATGAGTGCTTTGATTTGCTAACATTATTTGGTTAGAGCAGGGATTGGTGAAATTTTTCTTTAAGAGCAGGACAACAGATACTGTGGGCATTGCCACAACTGCTCATCTTAGCTATTGTGGCTCAAAAGAAGCCATAGATAGCATCCAATGAATGAATGTGGCTCTGTTCCATTAGACAACAAAATATGGATTTTATTTAATTCTCACATTACACATATTCTTCTACTTTTAACATCAGCTATTTAAGAATATAAAGACCATTTTTAGCTGGATGTGGCAGCAGGCTGGATGTGGATCGCAGTCTGTCTTTGTAAATATAGTCTAGAAAAACTAAAGTTATTCTTGTTCTGAACCAAAAGAGTTTGTGGACTCCTGGCTTAGGGTTGAAAACTGCAGAGCTTCTGGGTGTAAAAGCCAATAACCAGAGCACCCAGCAGCCCGTGGGGTAAGGGGCAAGTGGAGTCAGCTTTCAAAGCATTAATGAAGGAGCAGAAGATAGAAGAGTTTAGGAAGGTGCTGGAAGGTGCTGGAAGGTGCTGGCAGCACCTTCAGATGTCCCCCTGTGAGCAGGAGACTATAGCTCTGGTGCAGAGGATGTTTTCTTTTGATCCTAGTGGGACTGAAGCATAAAATTCTTGTCCATCTCATACACCTACCACCAGCAAGCCCCCCGCCCTGTCTCCCTTCGCCCTCGCATCAACTCTGCAAAAACCGTAGATGAATGTTATGGTTTGGATCTGAGGTGTCCCCCGAAAGCTCCTGTGTTAGTGCAGCAATGTTCAGAGGTGAAATGATTATGAGAACTGCGATGTCACCGGTGGATTAATCCATTTGCTGGGTTCATAATTTGAATGGACTAACTGGGAGGGAACTCTAGGCAAGTGGGGGGTAGCTGGAGGAAGTAGCTCCCTGGGGGTGTGCCTGGTGCCTTGGCTGTGATCTCCCCCCACCCCCTTCCTCTCCTCCCTGGCTACCATGGGGTGAGCTCTTCTGCCACCATGTTCTGCCTAGCTCAGCCCAGAGCAATGGAGTGTGCGACCATGACGAAAACCTCAAATAAACCTTTCCTCCTCCTGTAAATTGTTCTCGTTGGGTATCTTGGCCACGACAATGAAAAGCTGACTAAGTGTTGGAGTCCACTGCGCCTGGCTAGAATGTGCTGGAGTTGACTCGGTCCTGAGCGACCAGGAAACGCAGAGTTGCTCCCTTGGGGACAGTCACAGGTATGGAGCAGGCATCTTTTTTAAAAAAAAAAAATTTATATTTTAGTTGAAGTGGGACACAATACTCTTATTTTATTTATCTATTTTTACGTGGTGCTGAGGATGGAGCCAGGGCCCCGCACGTGGGAGGCGAGCGCTCTACCACTGAGCCACAACCCCAGCCCGTAGCAGGCATCTTTTTTAGGGCTACAGACCATCAGGTGAAGGTGTGGAGTGAGGAGACCCAGACTCCCAGATGGGAAGAGAGGTCTTCAAAAAAATTTTTTTTAATAGGAGTTGAAATTCAAGTCACATAAAATTAATCTTAAAGGGAAGAATTCAGTATAATTGTATCAACTCATCGTGTTATACCACCACCACCTCTATCTAGTTCTTAAATATTTCACTGCCTAAAAAGAAAACTCCAACCCTGGGAAATCTAGACAAATGACCCCAAATCAAAATGGCTTAGGATTCCCTAAAGGTTCATCTTAGTCTTAAATTATGGACAGGATACAGAGATAACGAATAAAATGAGATGCACTTTGGAACAAGGCACTTGATTTGAGATTCTGATTTTTTGTAAGCAGCTCTTCTCTATCACTTTCCATTTGAAAGCCAGAAGATTTCTGTGTCTTCTGTTTGAAAGCACAAACCTGTAATAGCAGCGTCACAGGAGGAATTTTGCAGACACAGTAAAAATTAAAGTGAGTTGCTCTTGCAGACTTAGCTTCTATGAATAATTATTCATGATCTTTTTTGATTTTCTGGTGTAGAATTTTTTTTCTTTTGATGGCAATGAAAGAGGTTCCTTTGTTGAGACCATAATGATCAAAATGAAACCTGAAAAATGATGGACTCATACACTAAAGGGAAAAGTTTGAATATTCAAAATACTGAATAGCAGAAACAATAATTTTCTCATCTCAAGTTTTCAAAAATGCTATATGAAGGCGAATCCTGTGTGATTGGTTTTGATGAAAATAAGATGTTGATTTGGGAAAATTTTGACAATGCTTTCATATTTTCTGATATAGAAAGTAAAAAATTATATTATCTTCTAAAGAACTTCATGGCAATGCTGAACATCTTTCATATAAGTAAAAAATTATTTATTAATCTTAAAAAAAATGCCCACCAAGACTCCATCCCCATTTTCCCTGTCTCTTGAGCCACCAATCTGCTTTGTGTCTGTATAAATGGGACCACACAGTATGTAGTCTTATATGATTTTTTTATTTCATTTCACATAATGTCTTCAAGGTTTTTCTGTGTTATAGAATGCACCAAGACACCTTTTTATGACTCAATAATATTCCATTGCTTGGATATACCACAACTCATTCATGTAGTCATCAGTCATCAGTTGGTGAACATCTGGGTTGTTTCTTTGGGCTGTTGTGTATAGTGTTGCTGTGTACACTCATGTGGTATTTTACCAGAGTAAAACCGTGCCTAGCACAACTATTGCAGATGGAGTTGGAGAGAAATCCTGTGGTTCCCCCTCAGCAAAGGAAAGGGGGCGATCATGGTGAATCAGGGCAGCATCCCCTCTCCTGCCAGTTTCCAAGATGGATTGTCTTACACTGACCCTCTGCAAGTGGACAGCAGGGCTTCATGAAGAGGGTGTCATGTGGACAGGCAGGGGGTATATTTGGTGAGACTGAGATTCCTTAGGATTTCTAGGTCCCTTCGGCCTCCATCCACAGTGCAGGCAATGAGAAGAAGTCAATGGGTGTGATGATGATACCAGAAAGAAACCTAGATCATTACAGAGAATGAAGAGAATTCTGCGGTCCAGCTTCTTTAAAATGATTACATTCTGATCAGAGAACCTTTGTCCTTTTAATTCCCTGAACCTAGCAAGAGCATTTCAATATTGTTCCAGTTCCCAGAGTGGCACCTCCTGTAGTAGCTGTTTCTGGTTCTCAAACAACTTCTTCTCTCGTTCTGTGAACATAAACCCTGTTCATTGGATGACCAAAGAGTACATGGCTGCAAAGTGTGTTTGCCTGTTGGACAAAGAGCTGTGCCCACACTGACCTTGGCCACAGATGGGTTTCAAGTCTATGATGCTTTCCTCTTATCTCAGTCTCTCTGGCACCTGGAACCCCTTCTCTCTCTCT